GGAGGCGGGGGGTGGGGGGAGGGTTGTTCAGTCCTCATTCATATAGCAGTGTGCTGGTCACAGGTCCTGCTAAGCACTGCTGGTGGTTTTTGCTGCAGTTTACACAAAGAGTAGGTGACACTAAGCCCAGCCATCTACTATGGTCAACTACTCCTCCCTCCTCTACTCCATCCCTACATTTCCCCATGTTTTCTATTTTTGCAAACCATATAATACTATTTCCCCACCTATCCTTGACTCCTTCATACGCCCTGCTCTACACACCCTCCTCCTGCCCCATGACAAGCAGCTGATGTCCTGCATCCCATTCAAAGTTCAGGTTACCCAGACAAGTGGCTCATCCTGCCACATCAGCTCAGGAGGTGCTGCCCCTCCCTCCTTTCAGGCAGCATCCCGTTCCCAGTAAGGTAATAGCTATCCAGGTTTGGTTTGCCCTGTGATGTTGTTTGGTTTTTTGGTGGTTTTTTGTTTTGTTTTTGTTTGTTTGTTTGTTTCTTTGTTTTGTTGGGATTTTTTTGGTTTTTTTTTTTCCATAAGAAGAATGAGGGAAGGAAGGAAGGAAGGAAGGAAGGAAGGAAGGAAGGAAGGAAGGAAGGAAGGAAGGAAGGAAGGAAGGAAGGAAGGAAGGAAGGAAGGAAGGAAGGAAGGAGGGTCCCTAGAGCCACCTACAGATGCTCATCACTACTGTTTCCAACATTTCTTCTGTAATGGTACTGCTCAACATCCCAGAGGAGCAGTGAGGCTCCAGGTACAGAAAAAATTGTTGGTGAAAGGGAGGTGAAAGGAGAGCCAGCTCTTCTTACCTTGGGATCAGCTGCTGCTGCCAACACAAAAGAATCCCTGAAGCTCTCAGTGTTAAGCTGAATGAAGAGGCCTGTGATGGCAGAAGACACAGCAGGGACAAGCCAAAAGCCGGGAAAGCTGTGCAGGCTCACTGCGGGTCTGTGTGCGGCGTGCCTTCCCTTGCCGGCTAAGGCGGTCCTTTTTTCCTCCCTGGTCCTTTTTCCAGTCGTTTCCCAAAAAAGAAGGTTTAGGGCAGATTGCTGTGTGCTCGCACCCCGGGATGGAAAGCCAAGAAGGAGGGGTCGCCGAGGGGCAGCGAACGGAGAAGGGTCGGGACAGCTCCGGCGGCGGCGGGTGCCGGACGGGCGCTGCGGCGGGGCCGGGGCCAGCGGCCATGGGCGGGCGGCTGCCCCTCGGCGGCGGCCGAGCAGGGTCCTGGCCCCTGGCAGCTCCCGGGATGAGACGCCTCAGCCCGGAGGAAAGGGAGTCAGTCCTCAGGCAGAGGAGAGAGACGACTCTGTTCCCCGGAGAAGTTGACAGCGCTCTTCCAGAAGCCTTGTTTTATTTCATGCCTGGGATTTATCGCTCCTCCGCCGTTCCGTTCGCCCTCACACCTCAAACAAGCCGGGGAGGCTCTGCGTTGCCGGCGCTGCCCGCTCCGCTCCGCACCCGGCCGTGCCCGTCCAGGCGGTGGCTGCCAGGCCGGCAGCGGAGGAGCGCGGTCCCCACGCAGGGAGCAGAGAGAACTCTGCAAAGCCCGTTTACTGATGGATGGCAATTTCTAGCTTTCCCTCCCAGGCGTTCCCCGTTTGAATCTGAGCTGTTGTTAAAAAGACACACCACCTGCTCTGTGCTGCCAGCGAGCGGGGAATGAGGCACAAAGGCGGGGGATGGGAAGAAATAGCTTGGGCTGCAGACATGGAAGAGAAATTAAAATAAATAATCTCTTTTCCCAGGAAGTGCCGGATTCGGGCGCCTCGTGGGAGGATGGACTGAAGTGAGTGGTCAGCACACACAGAGTGTGGGCAAAGAGGGTCTGTACACCCTCCCGTCTCCCGGTGTGCCAGGTTGGAGACGCGGATCCTCCCATTTTCTCTTAAGACGAGCTCAAGGACTGGTGCTTATGCATGTACGAAGCCAATGCTTGGTTTCCCGGCTGCTTCCACCTCTGAAGATGGCTTTCTCCGAGCGCAGTCCTCCAGCCCGGCAGGACGAGGCTGTGCCACCACCCCTCCCCAGCCCAGAAATGTGAGACTCCCTCGGCAAGCCAGATCCCGGGGCGCTCAGTGATTGGGAAGTGCAGCGTGTGCTAAAGCGGGTCAAAATTAGGATGCGCCTGGATGCTGTCCCGCGGGTAATTCCCCTTTCCTTGTTTTCGCTACAAGCCGTGCCCGCTGCAGCGAGGAAAGCCCGAGAGGTGCGGGCTTTCCGTAGCCGCTCGGGTCGGTTGCCCCCAGCACAGGCACTGAGAGGCTCGCTGACCCCTCCGCAGCAGCGCACGGGGTCCTGGACACCCCCAAAACCTCCCGGGCCGGTCCTCAGCACCACCCCAAAGCCGAGAGCTAACCGGAGGAGTTTGGGAGAGAAACCACCGAGAGGGAAACGGAGAAAGAGGTTGGGGTAAGGATGTATGTGCGTGCGTGTGGGGAAGCCAGATCACTTGTGAATGGCTTGAAAAAAATAATTGGGAGAGGGCGTGGAGGGGGGGAAGCGGAAACTTTCCTATAAAACTCAGCAAAAGTCCCTCCTCTCCACGTCAGGCCAATGACACTGCTGCCCCCAAACTTTCCGCCAGCAGGAGCTATAAGAACCTCCAAGTCTTCAACTTTCTCCCAATCCCAGACACCTCGAAGGGGCTCCAAGGAGGGATCGGGAGAGATTTTTTTTTGGCGGGGGCGGCGGGGGCGGCGGAAGCAGCAGCGGCGGCGGCAGCCCGCAGTCCTACGAGGAGCTGCAGACCCAGCGGGTCATGGCCAACGTGCGGGAGCGACAGCGCACGCAGTCGTTGAACGAAGCCTTCGCCGCCCTGCGGAGGGATCGGGAGAGATTTTTTTTTTTGGTTGGCCTTTTTATTTTTTTCCTCTTGGATCCTGATGCCATCCCCCCTCCCCCCAAAGTGAGGTCCTCCCTCCTTCCTTCCCTCCTCCTTCTCCTCGCAGGCCAGAGAAGCAGCCGATCAAGGGGGAGCTGGCGGGTTAGGTGCCCCCCTCTTCTCCCTGCCCTCCCCCCCCTCCCGGCCCGCTTCTCGCGTCTCCCCCCAGAGATGATGCAGCAGGACGAGTCAAACTCTCCAGTCTCCCCCGCCGACGACAGCTTGAGCAACAGCGAAGAGGAGCCGGACCGGCAGCAGCTGCCCAACAACAAGAGAGGGGGGCGCAAGCGCCGCTCCAGCCGCCGCAGCGCCGGCGGCGCCGTCGGGGCCGCGGACGAGCCGTGCAGCCCGGCCCAAGGCAAGCGGGGCAAGAAGGAAGCCTTCGCCGCCCTGCGGAAGATCATCCCCACGCTGCCCTCGGACAAGCTGAGCAAGATCCAGACCCTCAAGCTGGCGGCCAGGTACATCGACTTCCTCTACCAGGTCTTACAGAGCGACGAGCTGGACTCCAAGATGGCAAGCTGCAGCTATGTGGCCCACGAGCGGCTCAGCTACGCCTTCTCGGTGTGGAGAATGGAGGGCGCCTGGTCCATGTCCGCATCCCACTAGCAGGCGGCGTCCCCCACCCGCATCCCCTCGGCAGGAGCCCTAGGTAAGACAGGGACCCCGAAACCGGCGGGAAGAAAGGGGGGAGGGGGGGCCAGTGGCCGCCGGCTGCGCCGTGAGCCGAACACGAGTGGCCGTGGGGCGAGAGGGCCCGCACCCCGCCCGGAGGGGCCTGGCTTCCCGGAGCAGCCGGAGATCGGGGCGGCCGGAGGTGCCTCCCCCACTCCGGCTGTCCCTCCTCCTGCGCGGCCCGAGGTGCGCCCCGAGCCCGCGGGGCCCACGCGTGGCCGGGCGCTGCCGCCGGGGTGGGCTGCGAGCGGGACGCGGCGGCCGTGCGGGTGTGCCCCAGCCAGATGGGGCCGGCCTGAGATCACTTTTTCACCAAAGGCTGCGGAGCCAGCAGGGCTGCTGGGATGGCTCCTGCTGCTGCCGCCGCCGCCGCCGCCGCTGCTGCTCATATTTTGAAGTGAATCCATGTCCTCCCGTTGTGCTGCCCGATGAGGGTTTCCTACCGCCCCAGCAGTCCCTTTCCTCGGCCCTGACACCAGGGACCGCCAGGCTGGGGTGTCACCCGGTCACCGCACCGCCCGCAAGGCGAGTTCTCCCTTCTCCATTCCTGCCCGATACGCGTATTTCCAGAGACAGAGAGGTGTAGGTAGATGTTTGTGTAACTTTCGTTTCAGTAACGAGTTTTCCGCCCTTTCTGGGTTTTTGCAGATGACATTGTTCCCACAGAAGGAGAGAATGGACAATCTAGAGACTCTGAAGTTGGATGCGATTTTTTTTTTGATCTTTTCTAACAAAAAATGTACCAAGGATTTCTTGGAAATTAGAAGAGTAAAATCCAAATTCAAAGCAGGGCGTGGGGAGCACTTAAGAAAAGAGAGAAGGGCTTTGGACAGTGACTACCCTCTTGGCGTCGGTACAATCCACACATCTCTGCATTCTGATAGAAGTCTGAATAGTTCGATTTTTTTTTTTTTTAATTTTGACGAAGAATGTTGGAATCGAACTTTTATTTTTTTGCCTTTTTTGGGTTTTGGTTTTTTTTGGTTCTTTTTTTTTTTTTCATGCATGCATTCCCAAGAGGTCGTTCTTATGAGCCACTGATGAAAGGAAATACATTATTGTGGACTTCTTCATTCTTGAATGAAACCAAGCAGCCAACCAAAAATATCCCTGTAGAGATAAAAACCTTTTTTATTTTTTTTTTAATTTTTTAGGGGGGAATAAGCTGGGCTCAAGCTGTTATATACCCGGTTCCTAACTTTTTTATTATTATTATTTTTCTTCTGAGAAAAAAATAAACATTTTATTTATTTATTGATGACCCATGTTAAAATGCAAATAGATCCGGTGTCTAAATGCATTCCTATTTTTATGATTGTTTTGTAAATATCATTGTATATTATTTTTCTGCAATAAATAAATATGATTGAAATTTTAATAACCTTAAAGTTTGGTCTCTCTGAGAACTCAGGGTTAGAACTGTAGATAAATACCTGCTTGTTGAGCTGTAAAGGCACCCAAGAGAGAGGGGGCACTAGTATAAACAAACCAGGCGAAAAACGCAAATAAACTAGCTACTGACAGACACAGGCACGTTATTTATTGAGACAGCTTTATTATTCTGTGCTGAAGCTCACTGCATCTGTAGAGAAAGGTGTTGTCTCTTCTCTCTTTCTGTCCCTCTGCCCCTTTAATCTTCACGCCAGGCACGGCGGAGTTGCGCGGGGAGCGGAGTTTTCACAGCAGAGCTCTATCCCTGCCTTCGTGTTTTGCCCCCAGATGTGAGGCAGGAGCGGGCCCCGTTCCCCAACCCCCGGCACAGGTACTTTTGCTGATATCCCTGAGGAAGTGGCATCGGTTTTAAACAGGGATTCGTCCATCCAAAGGGAAAGCAAAAGAAAGTGAGATTGAAATAGGGAAGTGTGTAGCGAGTGGGGTTTTCCGGTGGAAGTGATGTTTGACTGCTCTGCTCTCTAGGGTTTTGTATAATATATATACTAGCCATCACATTTTCGTTGTGCAAAGCACGGAATGATACTCTAACCCACCCTCTTCTTTTCTATGTGTAGGGCGCATATTGCCCCTCTTTCTTTTCACCATACTTTCCGCGGGGTCCCAGCATGCGGCGAGAACCCGAGCTGCAAAAGAGAGGGGACCTCCAGATCTGAGGGCTTGGAAGGAAGGTGAAAGGGAAGTTGTAAAAAGAAAAAAAAAAACCCAGAAAACATAACAACCCAAACCAAACCTCAGCCCTTATAACCGGACAGCTGATTGTCTCTGCTGTCACTCGCTTATCTCCCAGCGCTTGGCAGCCGGGCAGTGAGCAGGGAGCGGCACCTCCTGCTCCTCCGCGGCCGCGAAAGGTGCGCGGGGACCGCTGCCGCCCCGGGAGCTGAGCAGTGCCCTCCGTGAAGACAGGGACTCTGCTGCCAGTGTCTGGGGTAGATAGGATGGGGTACTTTTCCAAGACAGAGCCTGTTTGCATAACCCATGAGTTGACTTTATTCCCTGTATTTGTTTCCACATCCACATACCGCAGTCTGTTACCCACGTAGCACTATTATGAATACAATATCGGTAATATTTTAAAGCAGTGCGCAATGTTTACAGTAGAGAGTTCGCAGCGCTTGTTTGCATTGAAGGATTAGCGAGCACTTGAAAATTAGATGACGGCCCTGACTGCCGCACCTCTCAGTGGTGGAGAGGAAGGGAAGCAGCTGTGAGTTCCCGAAGCGTCGCTGCTTTTCCCCGGCACCCTGGCACTTGCAGCTGCCCTCTCAGAGACTCCGAACCCCCGGCTCCAATGCGACCGGCTGCCGAGGAGCAGGTAATGTCTGCCCGCGTTACCTTGGCTGCAGTAAAGGCGAGAGGCACGGGGAGCGGGCGCAGTTTTGGCAGCGAGGCTAAGGGGATTTGGGAGGTTCTAGAAGGTTTCGGTTGTTCGTTTTGGGGGAGAATTCACACCGGGGAAAGGTGGGGAAAACTCTTCACATTTAGGAAGGAAACAGGTTCCGGGAATGGAAAAACCAACCAACCAGACGAGCTGCTCGGTGCCGAAGAGAAGGCGTGTTTCGTGGAAGGGGATTCCTATAAAATATGAACGAGGAATCAAGTGCACTTTAAAAGGCACGAATCAAACTGTGCTCGGTCTCAGAAATCGGAAGAGGCCCCGCTTGATGGACTTAAACCTAACTAGCTCTTTTGCAACCGGCAAGAGACCTCTGGGCCAGCCGGCGCAACACTTTTCCAGCTGAACATCCGAGTGAGAAAAATCCCCAATTCCTATCCGTGGGGCTCATGCCACCGGCAGGTCTTCCTTTCTCACTTCTGCGTCTCTCCGAGCGGGTCCCTGCCGGCACGGCAGCATTCCTGTCAGCCGGTGCTCTTTCCAGGCTGACAACCGCTACCTCTGCCTCATTAAAAAAAAAAAAAAAAAAAAAAAAAAAAAAAAAAAAATCATAAAAAAGAGATAAACCTGTTTTAAAACTCAGAGCGTACCCTTTCCTGGGTTGAAAGTGGGGACTGTAGATGCCTGGTGCTCCTCGGGCTAGAGCCAAAAACGATTAAGTCAGCGTCAGGCTTACTGAAGGAAAAAAGAAATAATATGTATATTAATTTGCCTTCTGGGAATTTTAAACACTCTTGCAATCGGAAAATTAACCCTGCCTTTGGAAATCCTGATTGATTTCGCTTTTTTCTCGGAGGCATCAACCTGTCCCGTTTATTCGCAAGCTCAGAGGTCCGTCCGGGCCCGCGCGGCCGCCCGGTCGCACGGCCGCGGCCCCGGCGGAGCTGGCGGGGCGCGGAGCGGCGGTGCCGGCGCTGCGCCTCCTGCGGGGCGGCGGGCGGGGGGCGCCGGCCGCGGGCCCGAGCGCATTCCTGGGTTTGGCAGGGGCCGCCCCGCTGCTTTCTCCAAGCCGGTATCGGATTCCTCCCCGGCGTATGATTTCACTTGAAGTCCTGCCCAGGAGCCCTTCAAAGTGCGCTCTTGTCCCGCTCCCATGATGTCAGGCGGTTTTCCCTGCATCTGTAATTTTAAGAAAAACAAACAAACGCGCCCTGGGGATGTGGGGGGAAACGGAGGGAGAGGGCGGGGGCACAAAAGTCACATAAAAGCGCAGGGAGAGAGGGACTCACCTGCGGCGGCGGCGGCAGCTCGGGCACCTGCCTCCCGGGGCGAGCAGCGGCGGGGCTCGGCGACTACCGGGAACCGGCTCAGCTGCCGGCGCCGGTGCTCCCCCAGCCTCTCTCGGTGGCTGCATCAGCCCGGTTCACACGGCTCTCCCTTCACCTGCCCGCTCCGGCAGGCAGCAGACCCGCCGGGAGAGCGAGAACGCTCCCGCCATAAATTAGCATCTTTGGGAAGCGGGTGGTGGTGGTGGTGACGGCAAATCCAATCCACCCCGTAAAGGGATCCGGGAGGCTAAAGCAAAAGAAAAAAAAAGAGGCGCACACATCCACATCCCATCAGGACTTATTTTATTTGCTGCACACATAACCTGCCCGCAGTAAACATGGCACAGGATGTATTTTACATTAACTTCTGCACCAGCTTCTTTCGACTTCAGTTCACTTAATGTTCTTGGCAAATCAAAGCACGTGTCCTTTGAAGAAGGTGTGTAATTGGAGTTTAAGGCATGTATGGAATTCCCAGATGTCTATAAAGTAAGAAGGAGCATTTGGCAGGTCACTTGAAGGTGGAGCAGGTTAAAATCACTTGTAGAAAAGTCCCCCTTTTCTTTTTTGAAAGCAAACAAGCCGGCCATTTATAAGGGCCAAGTGACCGACATTGCGGGAGGCTTAGAACGGTTTTACAGCGCAAGAACAATAAAGCTGCGGAAACCTAATGATGATGGTAATACCCGTTTTAAAATCCGAAATAAAACGCAAAGCAAAACTAAATATTCAGATCGGCAAAAAAGCTGTCCATTCTCTTAGTAATTCCCTGTCTCTTCCGCCCGCTCAGGAACGCTTACATTGTTCTTATCTACGTAGTCGTCTTGTCTTGGTTAGCGGACACTTCTCCAAGTTTTTCATAAAGAGGTGACATTAAATTTGCAGAAACTTTGCAAATTTCTCTTCTTCACTGTATGGACACGGGCAAGAAAATAAGTGTTTTACTCCAAAACAATTCAGACGAACCACGCCGGGATAAAGACGACTACAAAGGTATCAGGAGCAATTAATAACAGCAGAAATAATAACGGAATAGGTTTGGGACAATTAGATGATGATAATTTCACTTTGGGAGTATTATCAGCATTCGTACGAAATATTAGCCCCAGCAGACTATGGGTTCCCTTGGTGGGGGGGGGG